TCCCCTCCCCTGCCCTGCCCAACAGTCCAGCCACCCGCGAGATCCCAGTATCATGTCCCTGTAGCGTCAACCCAGGTCATGTTCCTGACCACAAAAAAAGCCAACTTTGTCTTGAGCTAGAACGGTTATCTTTTTGCACTAAATTCATTCCTGAGCTTGTGAATTATAATGTAACCATGACAACAGTTTCTCCTATACCTCCATCAATTCAGCTTGAAACAGGACAATTCAACATTTCACAAATATATATATATATATAGATATATAAAAAAAATTAACAAAAAAAAATACAATTTGTTCCAGTTGCTGGAGTGGCTTTGCATACATTTACTTATGAATTGTGAGATTTATATTAACATGGAAATTTTGCACCATTCAACAATTATATTATTTTAAATTTCCATGAAAAAAAAATTAAGATTCATTATTTAGAATGGAATAAATGTTGTAGAAACTTATTGTGTACTTTGAGATCTCAAACTTCTGCTTTGAACAGTATTAAACACATACAATGATTATCTTAAAAATGCATCACTGTAACTATACATTTTTTACACCAAGCTTTGTTGAAACTTTTAGACTGACTTTGCAGCATAAGCAAGTTAATACAGACATGATAAAAATCAATTGTATCTTTTCTTCGCTTTGAGCTAGAAGAGTTTCTTGAACGGATAATTTAGTGTAATATTTTTCTCTTTAAAAGATAGGTCTTTGACCTTTGACTCAAGTCATGTTTATTTGAAAAGCTAACAATTCTGAGCAAAAAAATCATTTGGATGATTACTTGTCCATTAAATGCAACTAAATTACCAAAAAAACACCACAAAAAAATATTGAACTTTAAATGTTTGCATCCTTAGCGAGAGAAAAACAGTTACTAAAGAAACAATCTTGTTATCATACCAGTTTTTTCAAAACCCTAGAAATTATGAGAACAGAGTTGAGTAAAACAGCACCCTATTAAAATCTTTGGTATAATAGTTTTTAGTCATTTTATAATACGGCAGCTTATGAGCAATGAAAAAAAACATTTATCTAAAAAATAATGAGGTATAGAATTGTCAGAAATGATACTATGTCAAGTTTATTTATGTAAATTCAAGTACGAGGTATCAAGGTATGTACTGTACTGCATTTTTTTCCACTGCCAAAGCTGCTTGCATATAATTTAATTTTCAAGAAAATCTGCATAAATAATGCATCTAATTAAACAAAAAATGTACATCAATCAGACGCACTATAATAGTGTTCATTTATCAAGTGTCAAAACAATATTTGATTTTTGTTTACTTAAAAATGCACAAAATCAAAAATTAACCTGCATTTTCATCACATTTTCTTTTTTTAGAAGCGTACAGTGAAACTGGGTTAATTTCATTTTATAAATTTGATATTCATTATTTCTACTGAAATTACCTGTAGTGTTGTGGATATTTATCGCTTGGCTGACATCTCAACTACCAAGCAAAACATTATTGCATGATGATTGCACAATTGAAATATCGCACACATAGTAAAGCCGAGACTAAATTAAATCGGGGTTCAGTTCTGATTTAAAAATATGAACACAAAAATTTCACATCATTTTGGAGGTTTATTTTTCACTGCTAACTAACCCAAAAAATTTATATATAACCAATAAAGTAACAAAATATCTTCAGTTCATAACTGTCATTTGTTAAGAAGATGTTTGATAATCATGGAAAATGGACATTTTTCAACATTATCTTGAACATGCACGGTGGCCATCCGATGACTAAGTTGAAACTAGGATGGTTTGAGGTAGATATAGCATTCGGTCTTTTCTGAAATTTGAGGTAGTTGTTCTAAAAAAATGTCTAAACAGCTAAATACATTTTTTTCAGAATTTAGATTCCTTGCCGAAAAAATGCAAGAAAAATAACTGTTATAATATACATATAAAGACCTCTGATATAGCAAAACTACAAAATATATAACTTTGGTTTGTCAAAACCTGCCTGAAAAGTAGATTTCATAAAAGTCACTGCAAATAAGAGTTCTTGGAACTGGGCTAAGGCTGATCATGCAAGTACTGAAGGCTGTACAAATACCGAGGCACTAGTCGTCCTCCCCCTAAACAAAATTCAGATATGCCAAAATACAAAGCTTATAAAACAATTTTAAAACAGCCGTTGACATTTTCAATGTCAAAAAGAAATCAAGCAGCTGCTACAATTTTTATCCAAGTTTAACTGGAAAAATTGAAATGAGGATTATAACAAAAAAAAAACTTGAGAAGTTTGTAATTTCCTATTAATTTTGAATATAGTAAAATTTCCTGCATAACTTCTGCACCATGGCTATGCCAAGTATGAATGAGGATTTTGCACAGTACAAAAAATATTGTGTTTTAGCTACATTTTAAGACTGGATGACTGCTTAGTACATAGGCACTCACTCTATCACCCAATATCTCAGTCTAGTCCACAGCTTCCAAGCCTTCTCTGCATTACCCGTATAACTTGTAAAGTGTGTTTGTTAAGCTGGTTGTGAGCTAACTTTCCCTGAGATTTCTAACCAGCTAAACAAACTCATTCAGAAGACTTGAATGCGGTTGTTGCCAAAGTCAACTACAATAATGTGGCCATCTGGTGATACGCAGATTCCAGATGGCCGATCCAACTGGCCTGGATTTGCTCCTGGGATGCCGAATTTACACAGGAAGTTGCCATTCGGAGTGAAGATTTGAACGCGGTGGTTACGTGAATCAGCAACGATGATGTGGCCTTCTGGGTCAATTGCAACGCCCTGGGGACGGAGAAACTGACCATTTCCGCTTCCCTCTGAACCAAGGAATCTAGCAGACTGAAAATCAGGGTGAATGACTAACAAGCGATGATTGTTGAAATCTGTGACAACCATGTGACCTTCGTGATTGAATGCAACCCCTCGTGGTGAATCAAAATGCTTCCACAGGGCACCTTCAAAGCCGTACTTGTTGAGGAAAGTGCCATCAGGCTGAAATAACTGGATGCGATGATTGCGGGTATCAGATACAAGAATTCTTCCATCGCTGTTCACTGCTACATCCCATGGATAATTGAACTGGCCATTTCTTACACCTTTCTCCCCGAATTTCAACAAAAATTGCCCCTCTAAAGTGAAGATCTGAATACGATGGTTATCTTTGTCAGCTACTATGATGCGATTTTGACCATCCACCGAAACACCGGCCGGTCTGTCAAACTGACCATTCCGTGATCCTGCAGACCCAAATTTATGTACAAAAGTGCCATCACGTTTGAAGATCTGAATACGGTTATTACTGCGATCTGCAACAATAATATGTCCTTCTTTGCTAGTGCAGACACCCCATGGACGACAAAGCTGACCCAGTGCCTCCCCCTCCATCCCAAATGACATCATCATTACTCCAATATTGGAGTAATTACGGCCACTTTTAACATCAATATTGAATGGACTGTCTATGACATGTTTCCCCTTAATGGTAACTGATATGATGTGCTGGCCTTCAACTTGAGGTCGATAACTCACAGTGTATGTCCCATTCTGCCGGTCAATGACTTCTGCATGATATAACCCACCTTCCGGTCCATGGATAATGACATTGACCTGGTCACCACCCACGCAACGCGATTCGCCTTGGTGGTCTTTTGCCTGTACCATGAACACTGAGATTTTCCCTCGAAGAGCTCGTTTTAAACCGTCCCCGGAAGCTGTAGAATTTGGGGCATATCCACTGCTGCTAATAATTCCAAGTGCGTTGATTGCAGTGTGCAAGGCGGCATCGGGAGGAGTGAATAAAACTGTGTCGTCTTCGTGCGGTTGTAAATGTCCGCGAAGTGCTTTCAATTCTTGCAGTTGACATACCATTCTATCTTTGGTTTTCAATACATCAATGTCAGTGCCTGACTGTAACGCCGCTTCTACGCTTTCAATGCACTGTGCCATATTAATCAGCGCCCGTCTCAGATCTTCCCCTTGTGTGTGTAGCGATTTACTTTTCACTTGCCGAATTTTCTCAACTCTCCGTAGTAGTTCTCTCTCCCGTTCTTCCAGTGCTAAGATGTGTCTTCGAATTGTAGAGCGAACTTCAGTTGCCACGGCCTGGGTTCTTGCCTCCACACGTTCACTCATGTTTTGAGTCATGGCGATGCTTTCTTCCATCGCACGTACCCCCATTTTCGCGTCGGAAAGTAGCCTCCCTGTAATTGATTTACAGTTCTGTACAGCGTCTTGTAAATATACACAACTGTGGCCGCGATGGTCTTGCATGGTACATTCCCTACATATTGCTTTGGAACACGTATCACAGTACAAACGGAGCACCTCGTGTTCGTGGATTTCACAGTAACTGGGCGCTCGATCAGTCGGTAATTGTTGTGTAACAGTTTGTAGCGGAGATGTAACAAACGGCGATGATCTGGTGAAAGAGAAACTGTCGTTGAGCTGTACAATGGTGTGTTCTTTCGTCAAACGGACACGTTGGTGGGCCGAGACGCATCGATCGCAGAGATGTTCGTTGCATTCCCGGCACAGGGACGTGGCGATTCGGATGTCATCACATGAACTACATAGTCGCTGTTTATCGGTTAACCGGTCGACTCCAAATCCATTTTCTAAATCCTCGTCTTGCGTACCCACTACATCTAAGATATTATTTAAAAGGTAGTTAGAAGGCAGACTGTCGATCCCATTATCACCGAGGGGCACTTCGTGATGACACGTCGGACATCGCAGTATATCGGGTTCAGCGGCCCTGTCATCCAAACATCTCCGACAGAAACTGTGCAGGCAAGGCAGTACTTTCGGGTCGTTGAATCGGTCTAAACAGAGCGGACATGACAACTGCCCGTTCAACTCGTCCGAAAACGCGGCCATCGATGATATGAAACATGGGTCGATTGTAAACGGGGCGTTGGACACAGACGATACGCAGTTATTCCAGTTGTTCCGGCGTAAAGTTGGTCCAATTTGTGCGGCTTGTTCAATCGCCTCTAACCACAGCCATGGAAACTCCCGCGGCCTCAGCTGTTCGAGTTGCTGTAGTCCCTGCCGGAGTTTCCCTCCCAACCCGTTCACTGTTGTACGTGATATCTTGTCAACCGCTGCCCTAACAGAAGTCCAACATGCCCCTCAGTTATACGATGTTTCTGGGAGTACATAGAGAGTGTGACCTACCAGTTTTCACTGAGCACTGAGGTAGGGAAGTTTCTTTGTACGCTCTTGTCGGCGTCATCCAGTCGCTTTATGTGCCAGTGGGTGGAGAACTAACAGCAAAAGAATTATGCACATGCGCGTTGTCGCTTCTTAGCAGGTGTCAATCATTCCACGCCGCGAATACCTTCTCGAGAGGGGTTGTGGAGTTCAAAGTCAATAACAAGGTCAACAAAAGTTCATCGTTATAATGCCCCTGCCGTGGTGTCAACTGACACCAATAACGCAAGAATTGGATAATACGTTCTATAATATTACCGTTAAATATCTAGGTCAAATAACAGGTATGTCGAGCGTTGCATATCCATGAAACAGTAATACGACGACGAAATAGGGACTGTGCTCGTCTCGTTTTTCAACCTTCCCCACCTTCTTTTGGCGAGTATTGAGTGTTCCTGTTCAAATCAATACACATAGCGCACAGCTAAACACGTGAGCAAGTCAAAACAAACTTTGGCGTGTCAGATCAACGCTGGCTTGACTTAGATTAAATTGTATCTAAGGATGCAGTCCCGTTTTTTAAGAATCGCGTATTATTTTTGACCTGTTATTTTTAATATTGTATGATAGGCTACTGGGTGGCTGTAATCTGGCCGCTTATTTGCATTCACGCATTCGTTATAAAATGGGCGTGGTCGTTTTTACGTTAATAGTACTGCTCATGTATTTATTTTTATTAATTCATAACAACCTACTGAAGGAGTTTAAAAGTTAGAAAACAAAACTGTGTTATGCAACGTAAAATCCCCGTTGGGACGGGCGTGTCTGTTGCGACACAGTCCCTCTGGTTGCGAGTACTATTGCCCAACACAGCAGTGTCGCGTCACGTTTTCGTAACGTATTTTCACGTAGTGTGTTTTAAAAATATCACCATACATGTATTAACGTAAGCAGCATTACGCAGTCTTTGTGATACCAGAATTAATTTCATTCTAGCATTCTTGCTAAATGGAACGAAAACACAATTTTCTAAATCATATATTAAAAGTAGTGTCTATGTCAAAAATCAATCGACCAGTGAAGATACAGTGTTAAATTGTAGTTTTAATGCGTTTTAACGACGGGTAAGCCTTTTCTTTTCACAACAAAAAACAAGGAATTCAGCGTGTGATGGGGCCTGTGACAACTTGAAAAGCTCATACTAGACCAAAAACCACGGGTTTATTTCCATTTGCTCAGAAACGATGGTTCAGACCACCCAAAACCGACGTGTAGTGCCTCCATCTCTAAGACTATATTCCGGAAAACCGTATCTGAGATAGATATCATTAGTGCGCCATGTGCTGTAATACACATTGAAATAGCTACATGCCATTTTAGCGAATTTGACTCAATACATGAATTGACAAAATCTTAATTTACCTAAAATGGCAACAATCTCATTGTGAGAATATACTTTATTCTAAATTAGCAACATCTTGAATTGGCAAAATTACAGGTTAGCTAAAATGACATGCTAGCTAAAAGACGTGTTTTACAGTATTTTGTTTGTCCTCGCTTTGCACAACATTATATACAATCACTTTCCCGTGTACCACGTCGGGTACAATATCATTGTGGACGCAAAAAAAAACACAATTTATTTGTAAATATCCCCGTATTTGTATATTGCCGTTTGACATTGAATACGTTTTATCATATATTTTACTAGCTTTTTTTAGTTTGCTTTACACATAAAGAATAAACTATTTAAATGGATTGGGGAGGAGGCCTTTGGACCATCCTTTAGAAACTGAAAGACCGCAACTCTGCCAGCAGCAGCAGCAGTCATGCCCGTTACCGGATACGTAATCAGCAATCACGTATATCACAAAGCTTTCTACCGTCCATCGACGATGCCGTCAATTATATCATGACATTTAGAAACAGAGGAACAATAGACCGAAGAATGTCCGTAAAACACTGTAGTTGTAATAAGTATAGTACTAGTAGTTGTTCAACCTGTTTCGAATATTTGTGACGTTGCTGAAAGGAAACAAAACAACTTGGTATGAATGGCGACTCATTAGCCCAGCTAACCGGTATTTATACAAGCGTGCGTGATCATATGTGGCTATATTTTTACCACTTTTCGCTAAAAGTGGTAGATGCTTCAACTGGCTTTAACTACATTCACTTGAGAAGTATTATCGTTTAATGCTATACGATATAACAGTGAAGAAAGTTAAATCTTGTTTTATCTTCATTCAAAATAAAACAGACAACATGTGCCACAAAGGAAAAAAACTACCCACAAATAAAACAGCTTGTGAAACGAAATCTCCAACCCAATCGCAACATTCGTAGATTTCTTTCTACCATTCTGGGATACACTAAACTTGTTTGCATGTAACACATCCCGTTTGTTCGACAGTCTCCCGCTGTCTACTCGCCATCCTTTGGCTTGACAAGGCTCGGCAGCTCGCCACAGTGTTCATTGCACGCGGAACGCCTAACATTACCGAAGGTCACGGAGCATTATGTTACGCACCATGTGAACGCACTGTCAGATCACTTTTACCATCACCCACTCAAGGAAAGGCAGTATTTTTCTTATTAAATTATGCAATCCCGAAAATAATGTTAGTACATACAAACATGTAACGCTGTCCATGAATTAGAAAAACATACTATATGAAATAAGATGAACTGGTAAAAAAGCACACATATATGAATAAACATATTGTTATAATTTCATTTCCATTCAATACTTTACTTTGTAACTCACAACAAATCTCCACATAATATTATTATTTTTCGCCCGTAATTTTTTTCCTGTGACTTTTTCCATCACCGTTTTCCTGTAACCTTTTTACCGTGCACCGTTTAATTTGTCTGGGCTGGGATCATACACAAATGGCTATTTTTTAATACATTGTCTACGCGATTACGTCACCGCAAAACAAATATTGCTATACGTAAAACCAACGAATTTGTCTTGCTGATGTCTAAGTTGATTTGAAGATATTCGATATTATAATGTATCCGCTTGGATAACTAATTCGAATTTGTTGTCTGTTTTATAATGGGAATAATTGTGTTACGCACATAGTGTAATGGCTTGCTGTACATGCTTCTGTATGCGCCGCCCCGCGACGAGTCAGGTCTGCTACGCCTGGCGAAGAGTCAGGTCTGCGCTGCCTGGCGACAAGTCGAAATGCAGGTTGTACTCTTCACACTCTCAAATGTTACATTTTCTGTACCTTTCATACTGGTGTTGACAGCGAACAACTAACGGCGTTTCATTAGACGGAATATGTACTGTCAAACATGTAAGTATATACTCAGCGAACTCGTCCTGATACGTATTGACCTGAATCAAATGTAGTTTGTTTGGTTTAGTTTATTGAAACACTTAAAATTCCACGGAAGGAATTAAAATGGTTACATTAACTACCAGACACGTATTTAAAGCATACATATTCTGCAAAAATTACTATCTAATTACTATCACGAGTTTATATAACCGTGGTAGCCTCGGTAGCCACACCATCCATTTATTTGCTCAATTCCAAAGTATCAGCATTGAGGCACAAATTTACATATTTACATCCATGGCATCAACAATATTAGCCTTTTTGTGTGAAGACATGAGCGTAGATCGCTCGAGTAGTAACATTGCCTTTTGCTTACGTCGCTATGAGCAGGGTCCTACGGTTTGTGAGTCCTATAGGTGTGAGCAACAAATTATATACATTATCACACATCGTAAATACAAGAATAATTTACTAACAATCAGCTAAAATGGCGATAAATATTGCCCATAGTGAGTTTCATAATACGAAGCAGTCAACGACCTCTCGACCTTGTATACTTCTCTTCTGGCAGGGATTACACACGTATCTATTCTTAGCCTTAGGATAGCATATATATGAGTTCAGAGAACTATTACATAATCACTTCTGTGTCTTTCATTTCATCGGTAATTGGATAATTTCTATCCCCATGGCACTTTCATATTGGACGTGATGAAGTGATCTACCTTGACTTTCTTATTTTATATTACAAAACTGACAAATTGGTGCATAGTATGTGCACTCAAATGTTGGTGACCTGCAAATTATTCTATTTAATTATATTAACTGCTGATCGACATTTAACTAGATATGACCATGGAGATAAAAAAGAACCATGATAGGACTGAAACAAGAATTTGAACAATATCTAAATATTATTAATTAGTTCATTCAAGCAAACATTAGTATCTTTTGCTGTAATAATGGGTCGACTAGGAAGATGGAATCGTTATTACATTGAAATAAACCGCTTACCCGATATAAGTATAAGACATTCTCGCATGCGGATGTGAATTTTAAATCCTAAGTAGTCTATCTAGACAGGTCAAGGTTGTAGAAAAGCGTAGCTAACTGGGCTAACTCGGTGTATGACTTTACTAGTAATTTAGTCCCACCACCCCCCTCCCATAGGTGAAGTGATTAATTATTTTGGCTTAAATATTGTTTTTTTTTTTAATTTTCAATGTACTAAGACGATACTGCCATGGGGGATGTTTTCCACGGTGTGTGCTGGTTAGGTGATCGCATTCAGGCACAGATAGTCTTTCCATTCTTCACTCGGGTTAAATGTTTTATACATTTCTCAAATATTGATTTTCTTTGGTCATTGTAAAACGGACAAGTCTTGATGAAATGTTGTTCGTCTTCTATTTGACTTTTTGTGCAAAGTTCACATATTCTTTTTTTACAGGTGTTTTTGGTTTGGAATGTCGTCCTGTTTCTATTTTTAAGTTGTGGTTGCTTAGTCGAAATTTACATAATTTTTCAGTGATATCAAATAGTTTTCTAACTCGAATTCATTTTTAAATTTACTGTATGTTCAGCAGTTGTTGTTATTCTGTCAAATTAATTGTGCCACTTTCATTGATGTTGTTCAATTGTGTCGTTATTGCGTTATACG